AGAGAGAGAGAGAGAGAGAGAGAGAGAGAGAGAGAGAGAGAGAGAATCAGTCAACAATGCGCTGCTGTTTGTGGGTAGGTTTTAACAAGAGAAGAAGATGGGTCACGCTTCTAATCATCCATAAGTATTTTAAGAGGGAGTAACTGGCACCTAATGTAGAGTATTCTGGGGAAATGAAACTAATGGTACACACAGAGCAATATAGAAAGAGATGTATGGTGAGGCATTGGCTCATATATGGAGGCCGAGGAGCCCTACAATCTGTCTATAGGCTGGAGTCTACTGAAGATGGTTTAGTTGTGGTCTAGACCCAAAGGCCTGAGAACAAGGAGTGCTAATGTCCTAGGGCAGGAGAAGAAGGATGTCTAAACTCAAGTAGAGATAAAGCAAAATCACCTTTCCTTTACTCTTTGTTCTCTTTGGGCTCTCAGTGGATTGAGAAGGTAGACCTTCTACCCATTGTGCAAGGAGGCAATCTTCCTTACCTAGTCTACAGCTTCCCATGTTAATCTCTTCTGGAAACATCCTCACAGTCACATAGAGAGGTAATGTTTCACTAGCTATCTGGGCATCACCTAGGCTAGTGAAGTTGAGAGGAGTAGCTTGCTTCAGGTCTGATAATTGGAATTCAAATGCTGCCATTTCTTAGATAGTAACAGACTCACTTCTCTTCTGCCTTTATTCTAAGATTGATTATCCAATAACAGCATAGTCTACTTAACTTTTATAAAGAATGTCCCTCCCTCCATGCCTCTTTTCCTAGAATAAGTGGAGAGAATTTTACCCAGGGAGTTAAATGCTAATATTAGAGTTTGTCAGTTGTTTCACTGTGGGAGGGGTAGAGACAGAAAGAGTCTGGCTTTTGAGGGTATTCTCCCTAGGTTGACTATAGATAGTGGTAACTCTTAAAGGTGCCCCTACGCCCTGGGAAGGCAGCCATGAGGTTAAGATTGTGTTATAATAACACGGAGATGCTATCTTCCCTCTTCACTGGGTTGACTCTGATATTGAAAATGCAATGGCTGGGGAGGGTAAAACTGGCAGTGCCTCAGGACAAGTCAAGGCAGTGGTACCAAACTGCAACAATCGTCATGATCTTCACTGTCATCCTCTTGCTTATAAATATGCTGATGCCTTAAAAATGACCATAGAGTCAAAAAGGAATTATATTAATCTTGGTCTAGCAACTATTTGGACAAAGTGGAATGAAGATGTGTCACAGCCCTTCTTCTGTCCCAAGTGCCAAGGGGGCCAAGGAGAAGTGCTGTGCAGTTGCTGAGTTGTGAGCTCACCTAGCTGCTCTTTCAGGCAGCACCACTTTATTTGAAAGAATGAGTGACATGCAAACTGCGGTTATTCAGACTTGGATGTGTGTGGCAGACATTTTCTTGAAAATGAACTAAGTGAGCTTGGCATTTCAAGGAAAATAACTGACCATTTTTGTTGCCAATGATAAAATTCAAGTTTTTAAATGAAAATTAGATGTTTAAAAAACTGGAATCTTCCGCTGTGGTCTTGACAACTTCCTGAAACTTCAGAACTTTTCTGATGAGATTTGTAGTGACATTAACAAGAAAAATTTGGGGAGACTGTTATAGAATAAAATGTACCAATATTTGAAGGATCTGAATAACTTGGTGAATTTCTAAAGATGACCAGCATTTGGCGTTGCAGTATGAGGTAGATGTTCACGGGTAAAATATAGTTACTGTGGTTTGAATGTGTCCTCCAAAGTTCATGTTTTGGAAATGTAATACCTAGTTCAACAGGGTTGGGGTGTGGGGCCTAATAAGAGTGATTTTAAAGACCTAGTAAGAAGTAGAACTCTCATGAATGAATTGATGTTGTTATTGTGGGACTGGCAGGTTATTTTGGGAGAGGGATGTTATAAAAGCAAATCTGGTCCCACTCTCTCTCTCCCTCCTTTCTCCTATGGGATGGGGGAACTACAACGATTCTCACACAGTGCCATCATCTTGGTATTGGACTGTCTAGCCTCCAGAACCACAAGTCAAATAAACTCCTATTGTTTGTGAATTATCTCATCTGTGGTGCTCCATTACAGCAATACAAAATGAATTAGAACAATAGTCTAATGGAATTTGAAGTAATAGAATATAAAAAGTTCATTGATAATGAATTCAGATTTCACTTGCCACTAACTTTTAAAAAAGAAACTACAATTTATTAAGTTTGGGTAGGACATTAAAGAAGAATATCCACAAATATCTGAAAAAGTTATGAAAATAATCTTTTTCCAATTACATGTCCCTATAGAACTAGATTTTCT